CCGCACCAAAGCATCTCCCAAATAAGCTAGCCGTATATTCAGTGTAACATGAACATAATGTAAAATTGGCATTCATATACTCGGAAAGTGTTTCAATACCATAAATGTATAAAGAAGAGTATTCTAATAAAAGTACAATGCTTACAAAAGAAAAGAGAAGAGCTCTTCCGAAGGCTTCCGGACTTGATTTCTACTCTATTCCTATTCCACCAGCTAGATACTACTAAACTAAACTTGACAGAAATGAGAAAGCTATTGCTTGAGGTCTATGAGTGAAGTGAGAATGGCAACTCCTTATATAGCCTCACAATGACGGTTGTGACGGTTGGAATGGTCGGAAATACCCTCCAACCGTCATTGGGGGCTAATCCACACCGTCCAGGCGAAGCCTTGGATCGGATGGCGCTGAGGAGGGTTCGGCCGAACCTGGGGTCGGCCCAATCCAGCCCAATTTCGGCAGGCGGCCTCCTCTGTTGCTTCTATTCGCTGACTTGTCAATTTTGGCCCAATTCTTCGTATCAATTCTGAGTTCTTGGCCTATTCATACGTAAGTCTGGTTCTCGACATCGTCCGATTGATTTGTCATCTATGTTGATGTCGATTCTCCTCCACTTTATTGTCATTCTCTGCAAAAGGTTAATATACCTAATACTAGTGGAAGTTTATTATTCTAACAGATATATGCATTGCAAACATCACTAGTTCTCCTCTATTTTAGTAATATTGACGGTTGAAACTGATCGATAACGACCGTCAACAAAACCCCCCAAGCTTGAACCTTTGCTCGTCCCGAGTGAAGGACGAAAGGAAACAAAGACTTGGTTGTTGATCATGAGTTGCTACTATGCTGCATATCTCAAAGATATAGGTGCAAGGTATATGTACTCTCTCTCGGATTAAATAATCTTTGGCACGATGGCTTACCCTTACCCCTGATTCCCACGAGACACTGCTTCTCCTTGTCTTGGGTGGTTGAAAGACAGAACAGCAATTTAGAGTACCAATCACCCAATCTTTATTTAACTCTCATTCCGGAAGTTTTCAATGATTTTGCTAAAGAAAGCCAAGTTTCTCAAATGATTCGCTCAGTCTGTCTAAGTGTATCAATATGAATTCCTCACCAAATGTTGCCTTTTTGATTCCTACTCTAAGGTTTGGTATGTGGAGCTCGGTAGGGATCAAACATGGCATACTTGCATTCACATTTATTACTAAGTCAAAAACTTAGACTAAAGCAGATAACTAAACATACTCAAGATCAAGATCGTGCAAAATGTGTGTGTAGTATATGGTGGAAATGGTATATGAGGAAAGATAAAAGAAAAATGCTTCCCCTTTGTGCTTACTTTCTTCTCCCAAAATCCTTCTTTTATTGATTAGGAGAGAGCATAGCTACATATTTTTTTTTAACATCATGCTCATGCTTGATGGAGCATAACTTTATTTTTTTTATATTTTTTCATGACCATGCCTTTCCCTCCTTTTCTTTCTCTTTTTTTTTTCAAAAGGACTTTTCTCTTTAGGGGAAGAAAGCACATGAAAGCATGGAGAATTTATTTTGGTGGTAATATGGAAATGGAATGGAATATTGCTTAGCTCCCAGTGTAGGAGTTTAGCATGTGCATATATGTGGGTGTATGATCTTGATCATAGAGCATGAGAAGTAACTACACAAGTCACAAGAGTTTGACAAAGTTCATTGGAATGACAAGTAACCAAAATGTATATGGTTTAATCATGATAGCATATTTTTTGGCTCTGGTAGGAATTTATATCAAATGAGGAACTTTCAATTTTATCATTTTGAAAAACAAAACATCCGGAATTCAAGTCAAACTAGTATCAGGATCATAGCAACTCATATTACTATCTCATATCTCGCAACAACTTAGATTTAGATCAGCAAGTGCAGCCCATTTACCTCAGGTTCCCGGATAATTGTTGGCTACTTATATTTAACCTTTGAGAGAGCACTTACCAAGAACCCATATATCAGAGATATAAAACAGAGCAACTATTCATCATTTCAACAAAGAGAACTAGCTTGTCTTACCTAGCATGACTCAATCCTATCCTATCTTTTTGGTATTTTTCTATTTTGCAAATTTTTATGTTGTTTTCAAGTTTTGTAAGATGCAATTAGAAAGCAAATATGCAATTTGGAAAAGGAAATATGCAATTGGAAAGGGAAATATGCAATGTGATACAAGTTACCTCAGTGGGGGGAGAGATATCTCCCCCCAAGCTTGGCTTTCGCTCAGGGTCCTTGATGCGGATTGAACCCCTGAAAACGAAAGTACGCCTGAAGGTCATCGTGTTGTTGCTGCATCATATTGTTGATGTTGGCGAACTGAGCATCAGCAGATTGTTGCCATTCTTACGTTTGAGCTATGTGTTCCGTGAAGTTGTACTGGATCTCCCCTGTCTGCATATCAAGGGTGTCCATTCTCCTAGTGATTTCACCTAAGTCCCAACAAGAGGAACTCGAGCGCCATTCACTTGGAGATGGAGGCACACCACTTGATCTGGGAGGTTGATTGTCCCCCCATTGGATGTCATGAGGCGCATGCCACCGGTCCTCACTGGCACTTGCCCAGGTTGAGACTCCAATGCTATGGCGTGGAGCTTGGGTCCATCCGGGTGCATCCCCGGTTGGTGCCCAACCTGCCTCATACATCTGCACGGGTGTCAAGGATGATGAACTTTCTCGTTTCATCATTGTCATGTTGCGCGTCTCCCTGTATGTTCCACCTGCACGAGGTTTTTCTATGGTCTACAGGGGAATGGTTAGTTCATGGCAGTTGTACAAATGATACCCCGCATTTGGCAATGGGATTTCATTTGTACAACCGGGGAAAAAGTATACCAAAGATCCATCTATTCCATGTTTCAGAATATGCCCTTGCACTAGATAAGCCTCATCAATACGCGGACGAGCAGCTGAGATAAAAATAATTTGGTCGCTAATGACACCTAGCCCTTTTGCTATCCGAGTAATCAGAGAAGTGCACTCAACAGGAGCAGAGAACTTTATACTTTCTAACCATTGTCTTATCATACATTTCACAGGAACAATTTTGATCTTTCTAACCATGATGATAATCAATTCATCTCCCCTAATGGGTCTCATATCACCTCTAAGAAACAAAGTCATAGCAATCAATTTGTGCATGAGTCTAATTGTAGGATTATGGATATCATTTGTTCTAGATTTCTTGCAAATTGGAGCACCAGAAATATCTTCCCAAAACCTATTTGTCTCGAACCTAGAAATTCCTTTCTGGAGATCGATTTTACATGAATCGTGAAAACCAAGAAGTGTACTTAAGCCTTTCCATGTAAGTGTGAACTCCTTATGGAAAAACAAAACGAAATACCATATTCTATTTCTTTCAAAGTGCACAGAAATTGCAAAGTAAGCAAACGAGAACCAGGCTCATCTACCACAGCAAATCTCTGCCAACCAACCGCTTTCCAAATAGAACGAAATTCAACATCCATACCTATCTTTTTCAGCAGCTCCGGTGCGTGTCAGCATACTCCCGGTCGCTCAGCATATAGTAGACTTGTCTCTCCCGATCACTGACAAGGTCGAGGTCGGTGTCGTTCAGGAGTCGTCGCGGAACTTCGGCATCCTCCATCGAAACATCAGCTGATGAACGAGTACTAGACTCGTCATGATGACTTGATGAAGAGCCGGATCCCTTGAATAGACGAGACAGTCGCCTCCTCATTCTGTACAATGAAGCAAGAACGGACTAACTCGACGGGGGTTAGGAATGACAAGAGTTTCACCCGCCAGTTAGTTTCACCAAAGCAACTTGTATAAATGCAACTAAGTGATTTGAATTTGAGGGAAACTATCAAAGCTTGAATGAGCTTGAGAGCAAACTTTGGAGAGGGAATGAAAATGTGTTGAAATGGGGTACAGTCCCCTCTCCCGGCCGGTTAACATACCCGAATTCTAGGATTAAGAAATTTCCATCAAAACTAGTTGAAAGGAAAGTTCTTCAATTTTGTGAACCAAAAATTTCCATTTTAAATCTAGGTGAAGTTGATCTAACTCTTGCGTGAATAAAATTTTAGAATAAATTAAAACTTTTTCATCTTCAACCTAGGACTAGATGCAACTCAAGTGAAAGCATGGATACTTGCATAAAACATGTTTTGACTTGAGTCTTTCTTGTGCATTTAGATTTTTGGTTGGCATTGCATACTAGGACTCATGAGCATAAATAAAAGATAAAGTTTCACTAATCAAACCTACAACCACACTTGAGCAATAATTATAAAGACATGAAAATGAGGTTAAATAGTATCACTATAGATTAAGAGTAGTCTAAATAAATTTCTTACAACTATTTAGATGCATCTAAGATTTGGAAATGTCCATATAAAGAAAAGACCTTGCTAATTATCTAAAATAATTCGTGCAAGATAAAATTATGGAAAAATTCATGTAGGCTCTACTTAATACATGCAACTCACTGTAATTTTGGTATAATTTAATAACTAAATTTGATACCTAAAATAAATCGGTCAAACCAGTCAAACAGTAGGTTAATTATAATCCTTAATCGGCTAAAAACCTACCCTCAATAAATGTGCATTAAACTGCATGAAAGTGTATAGGGAAATAATTTATTCAAATATTAGGTTAATTATCATGAATAAATATAATTTTTGCAGAATTTATCTTCTCTTCTAAGCCTCTTAAAAATTCAAACTGGTTTCCAATGAGTCTATCTTCTCCTAATTTTTTGAACAATCTATCCATAATTTTTTAGTACAACCAAATAAAATGGAAACTAGGTACATTCATCTGCCTCCAATAAAATCCATGTGAACTCATATGCAATAAAAATTAATCTATAAATTAACAAAGAAGGGAGAAGAAATAAAATCAAGAAAAATTCCTGGAATTTGCCTGAGACCTGTGTCGGCTGTGCCCACCTGCTTCTGGACCCAAACTTCTCATCCTCACCTAATTTGCTCCGACCTGGGCCCACTTGACGGTGTCACAAGCTAGCTCCAACTCTGTGCATAACTTTTCCACCAATCTAAAGACCCACAATGAACGAGAGAGAGTGATCGGCTCTGGGCGTGCGCGACGCGTGGCCGAGACGTGGCAACGCCGAGCCGAGCCTCCTTCTCTTCCCAGCCACATCGCCCATCCTCACTCCTCACTCCAGTGCCGACCAAACCGAGAGAACAAGCTCTAGCTGCTTTCCTCGCCTTCGATCTCACCGCCGGCTGTGATGAAGACGACGCTCGTCCTCGCCTACGAGTCTTCGCCAACCCTATCTCTTCCACGTTCCATACTCACCTCACCATACGGAAAATTTCTCCTTTTGATTTCATCCTCTCTCGTGCAGCGGATCGACGGGAACGCCGACGTGCCCTCAAGAGCTCCAGAGCGCGCTCCAAACGTCGCTGTGGTGGCATCGTCGCCGTCGCCACCGATCTGGACCAAGCCGGGCCATGCCATCGCGCCATCGTCTTCGCCTCGTACTCCTCTCCATTTCCCCTCAAGAACCACGAAGAATGGTGCTACGAGTGTGGAGATCGGCCACCGTCTTCTTCACCTCCGGTTGCCGTCGCCATTGTCGTTTCCGCCTCCTCCGGTGAGCCATTGCTCGATTACTCGCGCACACACCATCTCTCTGGCCTCACTAACCTCATGGACACATTTGCACGATAGTTCTTGGTGCCGATTGAGCCGTCGCCGTTCACCCGGGAGGTTCTTGCCGTCGCCAAGCCGTTCTGCAAGCCACCGCTGCCGCCAAGACCACGGCAACCTTCGCTAGACTCATGGCGAGCATTCTTGAGGCTTTAGTGTCGCATTCATGCACTTTATTCATCTAGATCCAGCCCCTAAAGTCACATGCACCACCACCCGAAACCATCTTTCGCTCGGACCCGCCGCCGGCGCTACTCCGATGTCCACTAATCGAGAAAAGTAGAGGAATGGAATCGTGAGAGAGTTCTCTTCATTTTATATTTTTACCTCAACCCCAAACGAGCCACCAATCGCCTCCGGTGAACCTGAGATCGAGCTCAGCCATGGCTGCTCTGCCTCTGTAGAAGACGAGGACCTCATTTTGAGAATTTAAACAACTATAAGGTTTATTGTACAATCTTTCCACTCAATGACATATATATGGGCCTAGGACTGCGGATTGATTCTTAAAAACTGTAAGGGTCTTTCTGCATATTCGCAAATCACTGACAGTGGACCCCCTGGAGATAAAATCTGAGACTATACAAGAGAGAAACCTAGAACTTGTAAAATCCATATAAAATCAAATAAAGCTTATTTTGAGATGATTCAAATTTCTTTGAACTCACTAGATTATGAACTTTAAAGTTATGAAATAAAAACTTGCACTCACAGTACAAATTTAGCCTCTAAAATTCATCTAAGATAAATCATACATAAAGCATATACAAATTTATAAAATGCATACAAAATACATTTCAACTCATTTTAGAGCAAACTTAGTTTCTAAAGATCCACCAACATGTTCTCTAAAAACAAAGTGAAATAAAACATATACACACTTTACATCAAATGCCTCTAAAACTATTACCTTTAAAATGACTAGTTTTAGATTAGCTGAACTTTAGAAGTTTATATAAAATTCATCTCAGATCCTTTTTGAGTAAACACAAGTTCTATAGCATCATAGAGCTATGCACTTCAATGTTATGTATATTAATATAAAAAGTACGAGTTCATCCATAATTCTGCAATCCTTCGCGTGGGACCCACCTGGTCATCTGGCCCAAAGAAACAGCACCATATCTCGCGCACGAAAAAAAGGAAACTACTCATACGAAAAAAAAAGAACGGGAAAAAAAAAGAACGGGAACACGATCTAACCTCTGCAATCCCCACGCCGCCGCCTCCTCATTCCTTCCCGAACCGTCGCACATCGACGCTCCGCCGCTCCTCCATCCCCTCCCGCTCCATCGCGCCGCCGCAACGCCAGATTCATCGCCGCCTCATCGGCGCTGAGAGCGAGGGTATCGTTGCCCCTCCCCTCCCCATCAGTCGCCGCGCCACCGCCCCATCGATCTCCGCCCGGCCGCCACCAATCTCGCAGCGCCAACAGTCGCCGGGTCCCCGTCGCCACGCGCAGCTGTCGTTGAAGCGAGCGCCGTCGCATCGATCTCCTCCGCCCCTCTCTATCAGTCGTCGTGCCGTCGAAGCCATCTTCACCGACGCTGGCTCGATTGAGGCACAGCCCTTGCTGACCGACAGCGTCGCCCGCCGCTGACATCTTCACCATCACCGACCTCCTCCTCGGACCATCGCACCTCGTCATGGTTGGGGTCCTCTGTGTCCGCCCGTTGGATCACCACCACCGTGAGTTCGGAGTTTGTTTGTTTTTAGGGCTGTTCACTTTAATGCCATTTTCAACCTTACCAATTTTTGGTAAAGTTTACAAAAAAAAAAGTAGCTACATTTATTTTGCTGCCAAATTTTAGTAACTATATAAGAAATTCTACCAAAATTTTGGTAAATTTTGGCAAATTTTGGTAACTATGCCAAAATTTTGTTTTGGCATCAAAGTGAACAGGCCCTTTCCTTTGTTTTCGTCTGCTCAGGTGACCAGCTCTTCAAACGCTTCCTATTGCTATATCTGTGACATATTGATTGGTTTGGGCTTTAATAAACAAATGCAGGCAAAGAAAACTCTGGATTTTTCTGGTGCGTGTGAGGATTGCTTTGGCAAGAGCTTTGTTTATGAATCCAACCATCCTTTTGCTTGATGAGCCAACAAACCATCTTGGTGAGTCTTCTAAAGGAAATCTAAGGGAAATATGATAACTTTAGGAAAATATGATGACTTTGATTATTCAATTTGATTTAATCGACATATAAAATGGGATCTTAATGTACTGCTGCTCCCTCTTGCCTTTGTTATGAGCTTCTTTTCACATATGGATCTATCAGTACTCTAAGTATTATAAAATCAGTTCTAATCCATGTGGGGTATTACATGGGTAGATATGGCATGACGGAAGACGTGGATGTGGCTCTGGCGGTCGATTGGGTGGCAACGAGGATGAACCACAGCTGCGACTGCGCCCATGCACAACCACAACCAACTAGCTAAGGTACAACTACAAGTCCTGCGAGCAACTAACCACCATGACGCAATTCCGTTTGGGCGGTGCTCCATGTGGCTTTCCAGTAGATTTGATCCCCAAATTGATATGATGTAGCATCAAATGCTGTGAATACACTTTGTGAGTTTTGCCTTTGATCAAGACGAACTCCTGATTATAGCGTCCTAAGCCCCACATGGTGCGTGTCGGCATCCCTTTGTCAATTTCTAGGCCAAAAATTGGTGAAAGGTTTGTCAAGTGGTCTACTTTTGATTGGAAGCGTGGCTACTTAATTACTTATATCAATGTTGTTTATGTATGACTGATGCTCTACAGATACAGTTTGTGTTATCTAATATAACTATTTTTTTTCTTTTATTTTGGATAGATGTGGAAATGAAGCTTAGTAATTTTTATATTTTTGTTCTGTGAAGGAAATAGAAATAATACATGTTGTTTTTCACGATCATTTTGCATTGAAACTGAAATAAACTGACGACATCCTTTGTTTACATCAGACGACATCTTTCTAAAAGATTATTTGTTTATGTTGTTATTGCACTTGTCATACATGTTAGACTAAAATCAGGCCTCAAATTTTGACATCCAACTATTCGAAATCAATTGTTTTGTTTGTATAGCAATGAAGCCTATTCTCTTCAAAAAAAAAAAGGCATAAATATGCTGAAAATGAGCTTCTGCTAATCCTGACATAAAAAGGAGTTGCAGCGATGTTGGGGATTTGGTCCTTGAGCTCATGCATATTGCAAGAGGTACCTAATTTGAGTTTCAAAAGTGGATGGTGCAGCTGTTCCACTTGATTGGTTACTATCAGGTGTTTGGGGTCAAGTCTGTAGTTTGCAAGGAGTGAACCTCAGTGTCTGTTTGTTGCGGAGCCCTCCTCCACCGTCGTCCAGTCTGCTGCCCCCATTGCTGGTCGCGCCATCCAGTCCGCCACCCCCTACGCACCCTCGGACGCCATCTCCAAAAGGTACAGATCCCCTCCTCCTACCCCCTCCCCCCCTCCCCACATCGATATGTCCTCTTTGCCCATCAGTAGCCCTGCCGTCGATCATCCATCAACGTCGTGACATTGGGGTCAATTGAGCTATCATTAAAGTGTTATCTCTGTATAAACCACCACCTTTCTAGATACACTAGAGTAGTAAGAGTGTTGGAAGTAGTATTGCCCCTGCCTAAATAGATCAATTTATATATAAAGTTTCATTCAGTTTGGACCTGCATTGTTTTCCTATCATTTTGACGCATGATTGAGTTTCCAGGTTAGGAACACCATTCAGTTCCCTTGAATTTTTCTTATTAGCAAGCTTCTTGAGATACAAATATGCTCAATGTACAAAACTTCTTCCTGCGACGTACTTTGTTAATTTCCTCGTAGTGTCCTATAATCCTCCATATCAATTACCTTGCTACTTAAAATAATTTTGAATTCTGTTGTTAACTGCAGCTCAATAGGCATATATGTTTAAGCTGATCTGAATACTTTTTATAGAAACAACATGGAACCACAATTTGTGTATATGTAAAATTTTCAGCATTACTAAATGCTGCTACAGATCTTGGCTTTTATAGATTGCTGGTGCTGAATGTATCTGCCTTTTATCAAATAAAGCTCTTGTTTCTTAAGTTACTAATGGCAACTATTAATTTTATTTTTCTTGGTACGAGCTCTGCAAAGCATTTCCATTTCTCAGTGGTTGTTTATGTAAACCAATATATCTTTTTCAGGCTTCAGAAGCTTCTGGAGATATTATTGTGAGGGAAGAATAATATTTTGCTTACGTTGACAACCGAGAACTCTGTCATCTGAATTAAAAATTTGTATGATTCCATCTAATCCCATGATAAATAGTGAGAATCTATTTATAAAATATGTAGATCCCATCCTATTTTTATCCTGAATTATTCCATAACATGCAACACAATTTCCTATCCAAGACGATGCTGCTGAAACTATGCCGAAGCTATAATAACTTGCCTTGTAAAGGTTAGCTAAAACATTGTTGATGAACATAAAGGTTCAGAAAAAAAAATGGAGTCTTTTAGCGCAGGTAGAGCTATAGAGCACTATCTTTCGAGAAAAAAATATACAACAAATATTCATATTATATTTTTTTATTACACAACATTGCATGGCTCCTTAGTGTAGGTTGGTTTCCTTTAAGTCAGTTTTTTTTATGTTTCTTTAGCATAGACGTAGATTTAGCACCAAAATTAAAAACGAATGTAGCAAGATAATGTTGAAATCTTGTGGTATAGATTATGAAAAATGACTCATCTGACAGGTTTGGTGCACCAAAATTGCCCCTCAGTTTAATTTGTGTGCTACCTAGAAAAGAGTAGTAACTAATTATGCTAAATGCATCATTATAGAAAGTATATAATGCTGTTTTATTATAGTGATAGGGATTGCCAATAGTTTCTGCAAGTAATTCTTTTTGCTTTCTCCCATTCTATTAGGTGTTTTTCAGGGTTTTCTTCCCAGGCATATATGCACATCATAACCAGGTGACCAAGGAAGCTATAACTTACATAAAGGACTCTCTCTCTCTCTCTCTGTGTGTGTGTATATATATATATATATACATATATATATAATATGTATGTATGTATGTATGTATATGTGGCAATTGTACACTTCATATTATGCCAAACATTTATCAAACTATGACAAATTGTATATTTGGTATCATTGGTTGTTTTCCGTTTATATGACAAACTGTAAACAGAGAGATATGTGGTCTGTTTAATATGCATAGTGGGAAAACATAATAAACTCGTATTTATACGTGAGGGAACGTGCAAGCACGTTCACTAGTAAAATAAAAAGACATACTTACAGTATAATAAAAACCCCTAAACATTTGTGTAAGGAATAAGCAACATAGAGCATACCTTAATTTCTAAAATTTGTAGAAAATTCATCTTTAGTCCAAATGGAGTGAACATAGTGGAATTCAACATAGTAATGGTTAAGCAAAATATATGTGTAGAGGTATTTAAAATGCACTCTAGCTATGAATAAACCAACTTGTTGGACCAGAGAAAACATAAGTTCCGTCCCTAACCACTAGAACTTGGCACACTATGCTCTAGGTTAATATGTTAAGTCACTAACATAGAACACTCCCTAGCTTATAAAATATGTAGTAGAGTAATATAAACTCTAAAATTTTGAACTAAGATTAAATTGGTTAGCTAAATTATTCATTTTTATGCATCTCTAGTAAATAGAACATGTTTTGGACATAAAACTTCTAAAGCCATATATTCATAGAGACTATATGCCTAGAACACGTTATAACTTGTAAAATACATAAAGAATTCATATTAACTCCAAAAATTATGAAACCAAATGTGTTAGTCTTAGAAAACACTCCTCTACACCTCTGTGAAGTCAAACTTAATAAACATCACTTTATAAAAATATTTTATAACACTCCCTAGGTGATACTATCTTATACTGAGCAAACTTCTAAAATTCATAACTCCCAAATAAAAAGAGATAAAATAGAAATTCTTTCACCTAAAATTCATCTTAAACCAGTGCCTATCCTCTGTGCACAAATCATGCATTTTAGAGCATTTTGGATTTTTTTTCGCATATTTCGGTGTTTAATTGCATAACGTGTACTTTATATAGATGAATGCTTAAACGGTGAAGAAGTGATTTAGGTGCTGACATTTTTCAGTTGCAAGGCAAGTCCCACCTCCCTCTCTTTGATCACTTTAAACCTATGTTTTGGAGGTTATTGAAAATGTTTGCAAATCTTGCATGTTGATTGTACACTAATAAATTAAAATTTTGTTAAACTTGTTAGACAAACTCCTATTACTTGCATTATCACCCTAACCCCACATATATCCATATCCCAGATTCCTAACCTTAGGAACAATATGACTATACCACTTTATATATGAGTTTTGGAGTCATTAGGTTACTATAATGCTTAGCCATGCTTAGAATGATCTTCCTTATCATTATGGATTCATTACAAATATGAAAATTGATTTTGAAATAATCTGAACAGAACTTTAATACTTGTGATTTTGATAAATAAAATGATGGAAAACATGGAGTTTAGGTTTGGGCCTCAAGTGGTACACATATGGTGATTAGTTGTGTACCGATAGGGGGAGAGTGCGCCCAAACCGACCTAAGGACTTCACTCAATGTTTGTTCATTATGTTTACTGTACATCCACATGTGTTATTATGGGGTGACCTTGGCCTATTAAGTTAAGTGCTTGTCTAACCTTGCATTCGGGAGGCCGTTGTAGTAGCGATAGTGCCTACGAGTGAACTTTAGGGCTATTTGTGTTTATGTGAATTGCAAAGGGGACGACTGTACCGATCCGCTTTTTATGTGCATGATGTTTATGAGGGGACAACTGTAACGTTCCGCCTCACTTTTATTTATGGTTTGGTAGGGAACAACTGTATTGTTCCGCGTGAGGGGACGACTGCAATGTTCCGCCTCATGTACAACGTTGAGTGCCACATAGGAAGCGACTGTACCGGCTTGCCTATGGCGTTATATTGGTAAAGACCCCCCCCCCCCCCAATATAATGACATTAAGATTCTAGACTTAGTGTGGAACAACACTCATCGTGCTCATGCAAGGATTGGACAAGACTTAATGTAAAAGCCTCGTTGTGACCTCTAGACGCACTCAATGTGTGTAGAGTATGGTGGTACCGACGGGTACCGGATAAACTAGAGCGATTCACATCATGTGGGTAAATCTGTACAAACTCTGCAGAGTCTAAAAACTAATCGATTAGCCGTGCTCGTGGTTACGAGCGGCATGTGGATATGTATTGAGTATAGTCTTGTGTTTATTCTTCTAAATGCTGAAATTTACCTTCAAATTATATTGAGATTTGAGAATGATCTCCTTGCTGCCATGGATGGCAATGAGGTGAATATTTATACATGATTAATGCCTACTTTAATGCCCATATGCTAAGTACTAGCTTGCTGAAATTTATTTGAAAGCAAATCTGACTTAGAAATGTTTTATGCAAACAAAACTTGCTTTATGCTAAAAAGAACCATATTATGCCTTTCTTGATTATATGCCTTGCAAGTAGGGTGTTAGGCTTGTCTTGGTGCTTGCCAGTATATTATTTCTATTAATGTACTGACTCTTGCTCTTGAATTAACCTTTTGCTTGCAGGTTTTAGATTTAGTCCTTGAGTGATGCGGGTATCGTCTGCTTCTTCTAGGACTTGAACTTAATGGGGTAAACCCCTAGTCGGTATGCTTCTGGATTGGGTAGACAAGCTTCCGTTGTTCTATATATTTATTTGGCTACTAGAGCCATACCTGAACTCTTCCGAAGACTTCCGGACTCTTGATTTCTACTCTATTCCTATTCCACCAGCTAGATACTACTAAACTAAACTTGACAGAAATGAGAAAGCTATTGCTTGAGATCTGTGAGTGAAGTGAGAATGGCAACTCCTTATATAGCCTCACAATGACGGTTGTGACGGTTGGAATGGTCGGAAATACCCTCTAACCGTCATTGGGGGCTAATCCATACCGTCCAGGCGAAGCCCTGGATCGGATGGCGCTGAGGAGGGTTCGGCTGAACTCCCTGGTTCGGCCGAACCTGGGGCCGGCCCAATCCAGCCCAATTTCGGCTAGCGGCCTCCTCTGTTGCTTCTATTCGCTGACTTGTGAATTTTGGCCCAATTCTTTGTATCAATTCTGAGTTCTTGGCCCATTCATACATAAGTCTGGTTCTCGACATCGTCCGATTGATTTGTCGTCTGTGTTGATGTCGATTCTCCTCCACTTTATTGTCATTCTCTGCAAAAGGTTAGTATACATAATACTAGTGGAAATTTATTATTCTAACATATATATGCATTGCAAGCATCACTAGTTCCCCTCTATTTTAGTAATATTGACGGTCAAAACTGATCGATAACGACCGTCAACAGTTATGTCACGTTTTTTATGATGGATACCACTTGCAATGGAATGCAGAGTAAAGGCGTGTCTTGTGGGTAAAGATGTACACCTCTGATCAGAGTATAATCTATTCGAATAGCCGCACCCTCGGGTATGGGCAAGCCTAGCAATGTACCAAAGTTAGTGGTTTACTTCTTAAAACTTGCGTAACAACAAAAATATGGAATGGTTGGCCTGGGTTGGCTTGGGACGAGTTGGGATCCAGGTCAGGTTGCTAGTTCGGTCTGAATCATCGTAGGCCTTGGGTTAAGCAGGTTCGTGTGGGTTCACGACCTTGATTAATAATATTGTGTAGCTCTAGGATCGTGTTTACAAAATAGCTTTGGACAACTAAGTGACTTTTAAATGATGTTTACTGCAAAACCTAACCCCTATTATTATCCCCTTGTATCCCCTCGCATTAATTATGCATCTCCCGGTGTGACTTTCTGAGTACTGTGGTTGTACTCATTCTTGCTCAATCTTTCCCTCTTCAGTAAGAGAAGCTTTGGAGAAGAAGTCCTAGGTGGAGTCCTGGCTTATACCCCAGTTCAGCGCCTGTGAAGATGGAGCCGTAGGCCCGCTAGTCCGCTGCTGTTTATTTTTGATTGTCAGGCCTGAAGTGCCTTTGTAATAATGTAAATATTATCGATATAATAAAGATGCGTCTTTTGTATCATGTTTGTGTGGTGTACCCCGGCTTTTCTAGGACGGGGATTAATACACTAGCGTTTGGGAAAAGGTATTTTTCCGGGCGTGACATCCCGAGTGGATTTTCCTCCCCTCGTGGTGATCGCCTTAACATTTTCTAGGGACGGTTTGGGTTGCCCTAGAATCCGTCCCGCTTCCTTAGCAGGAACTAGAGCAGCTAGCTGCGCCAGCTGAGTCTCTATCATTTTGTTAAAACTCATCTGGTTTTGGAAAGCAAACTTGATGATATTCAATAATCTAAGCACCGTGTTTACATGACTAAGGTCGGCTAACAGCTAACAAACAGCTAATAATCTAGAGAAACAAACAGCTAACAACTTATTCTATGTCGGCTTATTATAATCTAACTTATAGTAATCTGGTTCAATAATCTGGACTGGACTAACCCACTCACTACATTGTATGGGATAAATAATCCAGGCACACAAGAGTTTCAAGACCTCTTTCTTGATAACTTCTCTCATCGCATTGTTTAGCCATCTTTGGGGTTCCCTTGACAGTGAGCTCTCAAGCTCAATAGGTATGCAATGGGTGCAGAGAGCGGGACTAATGCCCTTGAGATCTTGAAGAGAGCAGCTCATGATAGAGTGATGTTTCTCTAACACAGTTACAAGACGAATGGTTTCATCCTCAGAAAGCTTGTCACTTATGATGACAGGAGCTTCCTTGTTGCCATGTAGAAAAGCATAGCGAAGGCCCTGAGGAAGATGTTTTATTTCGATCATAGGCCGTGGTGGTGGTGGTTCTAAGGACGACAATTCAAAGGTTTCGCCCGATTCTTCCTCTTGAATGAAATCGGGGACATCATATTCAAGAAGAGATTCAGGGGGCTCAAATGGAAGAACAACCGTCACTTCCTCCGCAAATTCATCTTCAGGAAGGGCATCGGTCAAGGCATATCTTGACCATGAGAATGAAACAGAAAACTCATCCCCTCCTAATGAGAATTCGAGGCTTCCTAATTACATGGTGTCGATGAGAAGTTTCTTAATTGGATGCCCGATTAGGACGTCAATGTCTTGGATTTCAAAAGCGTGGAAATCCATGACAACCTCTTTGTTATTGTGATGAACAAGAACATCTTTTATAATCGCAAATCCTTCAATCAACTGCCCAACATGATGTTTGAAGAATTTGTAGGTCAGTATTATCACTCCATTGCCCAAATAGGAGAAAGCGAGAGATTTAGAGATCAGATTAGCACCGGCCGTTTGATGAACCCTGAGCTCCACTCGAGACACTCGAGGCTGTTGTTGGCCCGATCTGTCGGTGAGTTGATGATAACTACGATTTGGGAGAAATGTTGATGACCCGACTACAACCGTGCGAGACGTTGTTGTGTTGCGTCTTAGCGATCGATACACCTCTCCGTGGGTTGTTGATCTTGCCGGTGCAGATCAACCTTATTCCTGCAAGCAAATCGAAGAAACAAGCAAGAACAAGATAAAAGCAATCTGAATTGCAGATAGGAATTGAACACAAATGATAAGTTGGGGTTTCGTAACGAGTAAACCGGCGATCTAGCAGATCACGGGATTACACGGCAAAGTAGCAAAGCTAAACTTTAATATAAACAAAACCCAAGAAACTCTAAAGGGCTACCTAGCTAATTATAATGGTGGGAGGACGACCAAAGGGACCCTAGGGTCATGATCCACCTGGTTGGGGCGCACCTCACATGGGCCTGTTAACAACCAAATTTGGTAATCTGAGTATCGGAGATGAAGATAGGAGTGGAGTAGAATCCAAGATGGAAATCGTTTCGGAAACAGAGAAAGGATCGGTTAAAGTCCGAATCAGCTGTGACCAGGATCGGCAGAGTCCGAGTTAGACAAGGTTAGCCGATTGAGCCGAATCCGACAATATGACACGGCATACGTTGTCGGGTTGAGTTAATGTGCTTCATGAGGATTGCCATGCATGGATAGAGTTCTGAGAAGGCAATTGTATCTATTAATTAGGATATTTCATGTAATTTCCTTATAGATATGTTTGAGCAAAAGTCTGCCGCAAAGACTTATGGTATCTTAGAGTTTGTTAGAGATAAGAGTCGTGCCGACATGGACATATCTTGTAATCTCGCGTATAAATAGACCCTGAGCCTCATGTAATTAAACTAACACACACGTTCAATACAATCTCGGCGCATCGCCACCCTTTTACTTTCGTTTTGTTTCGACGAGTTCTTGCTTTCGGGTTGAGCTGCATCGGTTTCGATCTTCAACTAGAGGTAAAACTTGTTATGGCGGTTTGCGTCCTCGGGATTAGTGCTTCCATCTTTATGATACTCTAATCTTGTTTATGTAATTTGTCGAGTTATCATATATCTTATATAATCTCTGGCAATATCGCTATCTAACCTTCAATCGGCTAACGTCTATTGCCAGAAGACAGCCGATCAAGTTAAATACTGACGTTGACTTAGATTATATAGGATATCTACCACTCTATGAAACATCCAACGGCTTTATTGTCTAGATATTGTCCTTCTTTTCATACTTATAGGTGCATCAGTTGAGTTTGATCTTAATCTTTAGCCTGCCTTTGGTTGCCGATTAGGGTAGCATCGGGGTTTCAGCCGATCTTACCTGATTTAACCACTTTTATCTTATATGCTCGATTGACATGTTAAATATGCCCTTTATGTTAAGATCTTGCTGCATTTAAGTATATTAGGCTTTTGTTTGGTATATTCTACATACTTTGATATCTTAATATAGAGTGGTATCGGAGTATTAGCCGATACATACTAGATCTATCTGATCGGCTATGCTATGAACATATATAGTCTTGTTGTTAGTATATATTTCGATCTAAATGATTTATACTGTCTCGGCATGGCGACCGATCTATCCCAATCACTTGATTTAAGTACCTATCGACATAAGGATTATATATTGTTAATATCTACAGCCGATCGAGTAGATTTAGTTCTTTCTTACTTATTCATGATTGCCGATCGATCTACATATGCCATTGGCTCAAAGATAAATGATATGTCATCGGCAACTAGCCGATCGACTATCGTTTATGGATTTAACCACGGTTTCTTGTCTTTATTTCTTGTTGATTGCAGGATCAAATCAATTGGCACGTTCACGAACCTAAAGGCAAGTTTTTGGACCTGTACTGGAGTTAAGCAGATCTCCCAGGCCTCGTGTTCTTACATCAACAGGGCCCCACTTGGGCCGGGGCCCCAGACGAAGTTACATGCCCATAGGCCCATGACAGGTGACGCAGCACCTTGTTTCTTTGATTGTGGCCAACTGAGACAAAGTTTGATGATGCGGCTAGATCCGTTGGAAAGAGGACTCCGAGACCTTTCCATCAAGTACTCATGGGCCCAAAACGAAGCTCGTATGCAAATTTGGCGGCCGTTTGAAGTCAGCAGTGTAGTAGGTGGCCGAATCGGATTCCAACACTTGGAGGACTTGATCTTGTATCATCTTGTTCATCCATGATGTGAGCAATGGTTGTATCTGTAGTAGCCATGGTCACATCATCCTTCCCTTCTTCATGGAAAACCGTCCTCGGCTTTTCCATATGGTGCTCGTCACATAGTCCATTCAAAATAACTTGTTTCATCCAATCAAAACTAGAGAAACTCGAAGGTGTGTGATTAGCAATAACATGTTTCTCTGAATCCGAACAAATGAAAACTCTATGCACCAAATATATTCCTCTATCATTATATTCGCCAAAGATATGAAAAATAGCATTAGTTGGGTATGGCAAATCAGACTTAGCAAATAATTTCTCCTCCAAATTATTAAGCTCACAAAAATCATCAAACTAAACATAGCCAAAAGTATTTAAAGAAGTTATCAATTTACATTCCTCAACATCATTAGCAATGTGAACAACATGCTTAAAATCAGCACACAATGAAACACTAGAAATAGCATGTTCATTCACTAGTTGTGGTAGGGATATAAGTGAAGCATTATCACACAACTCTTCTTTATCACAAGGAACAGCAAGTAAATCAACTTGTGACAAATGCAAATCAGAAGTAGTTTCCACCCAAATTTGCTCTATATTAGCATGGATAGTGGACAAATGTGACTCATCAGAAGCA